AAAAATCATGCAAAACAACTCAAAAATGTCAAGGAAAACTTTTTGTAATTATAGCAACTCTAGCATTAGAAGTGAGATTGATGGAGCACTCAATTTCTAATAAAGAAGTTGGGAGTTCAAGTCACCAAAAGAGTTGGGGTAAAACAATCTAAGAATATTTGGAAAGTGAAAAGTCACATACGAATGTAGCTAGTGTGATTGGAAAGAAGCTCACATTGCGATTTATGGCACCAGGGAGACCCTCATAAAAAGAAGGCCAGCCACAGGGTGAGTTGAATTTGGTTGCGGATCTGTAGAGTGGAGTGCCACAACCAGCACAGAGGTAGGTGCCTACACCAAAAAACTTGTTATACTCTCCACTCCCTTGATTCCTGTCAAGTAAAAATCAGGGATTCTAATCACTTTTTTATTCACACAACATAACTATAATAATCAGCAATATTCCTTTTTTTGCTTGCCTGCTTTGTTAGTCTTTGACTAAGGGGTCATTTGATAGGAGAAATAAGAGATAATAATCCCGGAACAAAATGCAGAATTATTTTATCAAGCCTAATATTATAGCAACAACTGTGTCATAATCCTGACCAATTGGTATTGCCTAAACAGATACGCGCAACGACAGATAGAAGAAAGAAGAAATAAAAATTATACGGCAGGATACATACTCTGTGCCTTTCTGCCTCAAAATCCGGAATTGGTCAGGGGAGAGAACGGCACGCCATTCCTCCTCTGACTTCTGAACGGACCCTGCTGCTGCAACCCTGAATCGGGTATTGGACAGGCCATGAATGTGAACTGCTTTTTTGGAGTTGAAAATGAAATTTCTTGAAGGAATAATTGGCGAAAATTTTAGAATCTGAGAGTCCATGGAAATGATATTTTTTTGCTTACTCTCAACACATATATTCAGTTAATTGTGTGTTGAAGATCCTCCAGGCTCCAACCGTCGCTGTACAGCTTCACAAATTCCAGCTAACTGACTTTATCTATATTCTGGAATATCTGATCATATTTATGTGGATAAAACACCATTAGAAAAAAAAAAACCATTAAATTTTTAAATCTTTTCTGGTGTTCTTTTTTTTTCATTTTTTTTTTTTTGATGTTACAGGACGGGTCGCCCGTTAATTGATACCACAGTTTAACCTTTTATGACAGTATCTACGGACATTACCATTATTTATCCTTTATTTTATTTATTATGTGCATTTAATTAAGAAGATTTTCGGATTATCTTCAAACTAGTATACGACTCGCGCGTTACACGATTTTTTAAAAATATAATAACTTAAATATAAAAATAATTAATGTAAATTATTATTGAGTAACAAAATGCATGTCTAATCATATATAATATTGATTTTTTATATATACACTTAATGCTAACAAAATTTTGCCAAAATCTATGTGTGATGAAGTTATGTTCTTCAAAGACACCAAACATTATTCTAAATTTTTTCCTTTTTTTAGTATAATACTAGGAAACTAAGCCGCACTACGCGTGGTATAAAATTTTTTTATGAAATATTTTAAATATTTTTTTGTTTTTCTTAAATAAAATTATGATATTATTAATGTTTTTAATGATTTTTTCGATCTTCAAATAAATTATATTACAAATTCTAATACTTATATTTGTAATATATTTTGAGTTAAATTCCTGGGATATTGATTTTATCAACCAAACAGAAACAAAGGAATCGTTTAGTACCATCTAATATATATATTATTTTGTGTTAGAGTTGTCATAATTGAAAATTTAGGAATTTAGTATCCATTTGAATGCGTTCTTTTATAGAGTTATGACATGGTAATAAAAATTAAAATAATAGATTTAACAGAAAAAAAGAAAAAAAAAATGAAGGAATATATACATTTAATAGTAGATAAATAAATCAAAGGTTTACTCATTGGTGCAAGGATGAGCTTAGAGTTTACTTTCACTAAAATTATGTTATTCTCTAACGTAAATGCATAAAATATAGAACTAACATGCAAATTAGCATAAATATAATAGATCTATGAATGAAAAAGGGGATAATTTCATACGCTTTTCTTTGAATTTGATTTATAACACTCGCCTCTTAAAATTTACGATATTATAATTCTCTTATTTTAGTTTTATTGTAATACTTCTTTTAACCTATTAAATATCTCAATGATATGTATGGACTTATTTGTCCCTTAAAGAAACTCAATAATCTCGTTAAAAGAATCTTCTAAGTAGCATTACACATATGGATGGAATTTCATTTAATTTCTTAAATATTAAATGAAATGTTTGATAAAGTGAATAGAGAACAATCATTCATCTCCCTAAAGAGAGTACTATTAAAACCCTTTCATGAAATTGCCTTGGTTTCAATCTATTTCATTAGCTGCAATTGATCAACATAAAAATGAAACAAATAATAAACTAAACTACAATTTCTTATCTTTGTAAATAAACATATATGTAAGGATGAAAAATGGAATACTACAAATTGACGGAATAGTTACAAGAGTGGTATTAAAATTAATGGTTGTACAATAATAAAAGTGACAATTCAATAATCATTCCTTTGTTATAACTTATAACTATTGCTAAATTAAGATTACAACGAACTCTTCAAGAGTCCAAATTAGGTGGAAAGAGTGAGTAAGAAAGTGAAGATATACACTAATAAGAACATAGTTAGGAATACTTATCGACACACCTTTTCATTTCTTATATGTGAAGCAAAAACACATGAAATTTACTGATAGAATTAATAGACATTATTCTTTACTAATTATTTGATATCAAAATTTATTGATCAATTAATTTATATTTAATTCATACTAAAATTATCTCTATGACTAATTCGAATTTACAATGTTGAAAGTTCATTAATAAAAAATGTAGTGCTTTTATAAAAAAAAAAAAAAAACTTTCAAAACTCGAATTCCATATATATTTCGTTAATGATAGATAAATTTTTATTCACATTTTCAAATGTACCTAAAACTCATTGAATAGAAGGGCACCTTTTTAATTATTTATTTGTAGGCTTTAGATATTGTGCATCGCATTAAGTGCAAGTGCTATTCTAATCCATATTATGAAAGGACATTTTATCTATAGCTTTATCTTCCGAAAAAAATTATTCTCTTATGTGTGTCTTTTGCCTTTTCAAGAAAACGTTTGACATTTGTTTTGGTTAGGTACTTTTATAGTTGAAGAGGCATGATAGTTCATAGTAGTAATTACAATGATTTAGTAAGTCTTACAATATGATCAGAATAGTTAAAAGGCTTTTACTGAAATAAAATTTGAAGAGAGAAGTTATTGAAACAAAAGCCAAAAATTTCATAATTAAATAAAGGTAAATAGAAATGTTAGTCATAGAGAAGTATCAAAATCAAAATGTTAAGACTTTGAGAGATTAGATAATATAAAACAACCAAAATAAAAAATACTCACACACAAAAGTAAGCATCCTGCTTGAAGCCATGTTATCATTCTATGTATCATAAGTATAGAATTACAATGTTAAAAAAGATCAATATTATTCCTACTTAATATTAATACTTGGCAACCAAAAATGAAAGTGTAACAAATGTTGTTATAATAAAAGAGATTGACGAAAAGCTGAAATTTAATTAATTTAATTATTAGGATGTCGTTTGAAATTTTTCATGCAAGGGTTAAGGGCTGCATTAATTAACCATTACTTTTTTCTTTAATGACGTATAAACTGTTAAATATTAAGTTAAATTAAATTAGATAAATAGAAAAATGAGAGAAAAAAAGTAAAAAATAAAAAAATAAAAAATATAAATGTGATTCCTGGGATATAAAGGGTGCCACATCAGCGGGCTTATGTTCCTACTTTATATTAATATATAGATTTGTTGAGCAGCAGTTGTGTTAGCAATATAATGTGTTATTTAATTTCAAGTTGACTTTGTCCAATCAAAGGTTTAGAAGAATTCCTTCTATTATCAAAATTTCTGGGCCTACAACGCTGAAAAAAATATCATTTTGACTTTGAGATCTAATTATCATAATTCATAACGAATTACAAGTCTAAATGAGAATGCATGCTAATTATCTGTACTTTTTTTTTAATCACTGTACCGCAACAATCCGAATGGATCAGATGGAATAGTTCAACAAAAAAGAAGCTTCTTCATTAATATGCTTTTAAAACTTTGAAATGGATTTGCTATTTTTTTATTCAAATTCAAACCGATGATTATCAATTGTCAAACTCATGCCTCAAAAGTGATTTATAAAAAGACAGGTGAGGTAATAATTTAATAATTATTGGACGTGAAAATATTTCCAAATATTGTCCCAAGTGTAATATGTAGGTTAGTGATTCAGATAGTGGAAATAGTAATTAATGTATGCATTATGATAAATTGTTTATATCACACCTTTTGGGATGCAACACTTCTTCAAAACCTGCTAACGAGAGTGCTATATGCATCGGGCAACTTTTAATAAATTCCTAAATACTATCTTCGTGTGATATGTAGGTCACATATTTGAGCCGTGAAAATATATATTAATACTTGCATTATAATAGATTATTTATCTCACATTTCTTGAAATATAAATCTTTTTTAAAATTCTTGTAACGTAGAACACTTTATGCACTAAACAACCTTTAATAATTAAATAAAATAAAAAATAACATGATTTAATACTCTATTTACGTACTTTGAAATCTAATCCAATATGGTGCCAATTCCAAATCCAAGTCAAAAAAGGAACCACCATTTGCAATTATTAACACGTTCCTAAATGTAGTCACGATTGGACCAATTCCTAATCCTATTAAATTTTGGAGTGTGGAACCAACGCGTATATGGAATATGTATAATCGAAAAACCCCAAACTATAAATAAGCATTCTCGAAAAGTCAATAATCACCAACCACTGTCTTACTATTCCACCATTATTATCGTCGATTCCGTCCAAATAAATAAAATTGCCTAATTATATTAGCCCACCACTCACCAAAGTTTTTTTTTATACCAAACCCATCACCTCCATACCTATTCCATTCTGTCACCTGTTCCGAATTTCGATTACAAATCTGGGTTTCGGAGCTCTCTCGCCATTGCCGCTATTGCTGTTTTCTACAAATTGTGTTTCAATGGCGGTTGCGAGTAGCTTTATGACAGGTGGCAGTTTCAATTGTGATTATTTAAGTTCTACGTCTTGTTCTTCGTCGTCTTCTCCTTCTGTGGATCATCAAGTTAGATTTTTTGGGAGTCGTCGAAGAATTAAGCCGTTAGTATATTGGACGAGATCGCATTCGTTGAGCCCTAAATGTGAGTTATCATCCAACTCGGTGGTGAAAAATGGCAAAAAGGAATCTAGAACATCGAGTCTTTCTGCTTTGGAACTTCTCAAAACATCTGCTGCTGATCGTATGCCTCTTTCTTTTTTTTTTTCTCTTGAAGTTTTGGTATTTTAGCTAGAGTTTTGTGATATTTTTCTAATCTCAAGTCTGTGACCTTGATTGAACTATAATCTGTGGTATTGAGGTTCTAAATTTACTAGGAAGTTATGATGTTTTAGCTAGAGTTCTGTGATTCAATTATTGACCCTAGTTAATTGGGGATTGTAGTTCATTGATTGATACGCGGTTGGATAGTTCGAGTTTACTTAAGATGTTTGAGAAAGAAGGTAGTCTAACATAGGAAACTTTTTCGTGCCAGGATATACAAAGGAGAGTAGCAGCATCATGGTTATTGGACTTAACATTCACACAGCACCAGTTGAAGTGCGGGAAAAAGTTTCTATCCCAGAAGCACAATGGCCTCAAGCAATTCGCGAACTGTGTTCCTTGAATCATATAGAGGAAGCTGCTGTATTGAGTACTTGTAACAGAATTGAAATATATGTTCTGGCGCTTGCCCAAAATCGTGGAATTAAAGAAGTGACTGAGTGGATGTCTAAGGTAATTGTTTCTTCAAGCATCATTTATCTGCATAATGTTTCCTTTTGTTGACTAACATCTTAAACCCGTGTGATAAACTAGCAACACTGTCATATAAAAACTGCATTAAACTCTAATGAGCATCATCTACCCTATGTCGCTTGCAGTAAGATTTGAACAAATTCATCTTGGTTTCAAAGGCTTAGGAATTACCATGCGTATTCTCCATCATGAAAGATACAATTGAATGATAAACAAAAGATTTTGACTTGCTGTTCCATTTATACACTGTATTTCTACATTTGGGAAGGAATTGTGTTTATTTTACTGTGCTTTGGTTCCCCTGCTCATTAACGTCATTGCAAAGGTCTAACTACCTGATTTCAAAGAAATACAGCCCTATGCTATAATGTTCACTTTTTGTTGTACTTTATATGCAAACCTTTTTTGACACAAATATCTTTGTTTGGCAGTTTAGTGGAGTTCCAGTTACAGAGCTATGCCAACACCGGTTTTTGCTATACAATCAAGATGCCACACAACACCTGTTTGAAGTAGCTGCTGGACTAGATTCCCTAGTCCTGGGAGAAGGTCAAATTCTTGCACAGGTCAAGCAGGTTGTTAAGAATGGACAGGGGGTCCCTGGCTTTGGTAGGAAAATAAGTGAGCTATTTAAGCGTGCAATCACAACTGGTAAGAGGGTAAGAACTGAGACCAATATCTCCAGCGGATCAGTATCAGTCAGTTCAGCGGCGGTTGAGCTTGCTCTGCTGAAACTTCCAGAGTATTCTTCTTCTACGGCTCGTGTGTTAATTGTTGGAGCTGGCAAGATGGGAAAGCTTGTGATCAGACATTTGGTTGCTAAAGGGTGTAAAAAGATGATTGTCGTTAACAGGACAGAGGACAGAGTTGCTGCCATCCGTGAGGAGTTGATGGATGCTGATATAGTATACAAACCTTTCTCAGAATTGTTAGCATGTGCTGCTCAGTCTGATGTAATATTCACCTGCACTGCTTCGAAAGCTCCTTTATTCATAAAGGAGAGTGTTCAAGCTCTCCCTTCTGTGAACTCTGAAGATGGGTGCCGGAGGCTATTTATCGATATTTCTGTTCCTCGGAATGTGGAGCCTAGTGTCGCAGAACTTGAAGGTGCAGGTGTTTACAATGTGGATGATCTTAAAGAGGTTGTGGAAGCTAATAAGGAGGATCGGTTGCGGAAGAAAATGGAAGCTGAGACCATCATTGCTGAGGAAGTGAAACAATTTGAAGCACTTAAAGACTCCCTTGAGACCGTTCCAACTATAAAAAAGCTCAGGGCATATGCTGAAAGAATTAGGTCTGCTGAGGTTGACAAATGTTTGTCTAAGATGGGTGATGATATCCCCCAAAACAAGAAGAAGGCCATCTATGATCTCAGTTTAGGGATAGTAAACAAGCTGCTACACGGACCAATGCAGCATCTGAAATGCGATGGAGCAGAAAACCGAACTTTGAGTGAAATACTTGAAAATATGCACGCCCTTAACAGAATATTTGGTCTTGATACAGAGATTTCTGTATTGGAAGAGAAAGTACGAGCCAAGATAGAACAAAATCAAAAGCATTCCTCTTGAGGTTCTTTTGCCATTCAGCTAGAAAAGGTCAATAACGTTCAGCAAAGTTCAATCAGGAATGATCATCGTTTCAGATCCTTCCCTGACAGTTTGCTAGTTTTAACTGTATCAAATTGAAGTACACAGAACACGATGAAATTCTTTTTTTTTAGGCCATAGGTAGCCAACATTACACGAGGGATTCCCTCAGATTGCGGGAAAGTCTGCCATAGTTGCAGTTGTATTTCTTACAGAAGAGTATATATCCATTTGTTGATTCCAGAGGAGTATTCATAATACATCAAGTTCATGAGGGCTTTGTGAAGCTTCTCACTTTACTGTCTCAACTTCTTTCTGTCTGTTACTTCCTTTTGATTTCTACTTTGGCTAAAAAAAAGTGGGGAATTACATCAACTCTAGCATATATAAGATGTTTTGGCATCTTTCCAAATTGAAGGAAACAAATTCCCATTCTGTTTAATTTAACAAAACAAAAGCAGAAATATTTAAAGCTAGAAGTCAATAAGGGAAACTGAAATCCAATCTATTCATTATCATCCCCTGAAAATCCCATCAATTTTTTGAGACCAGGGAAAAAAGAAGAAGAAGTGAACTCAGAAGTGTTTTCAACCAAGTACTCATCAACTAATTCTTTAACAGACCTAGCAGATAATGGATGAAAATGGGCACCCCATTCTAAAACAAAACTTTTAATCAAAACCCATTGTTCCTCTTCACTGAATTTCTTCCATTTCTTCTTCATTTCCTCCGATTTCAAGCCCGTGTAGTTGCAAAACTCAACGAACAAAAGCTCTTTGCTTTTCTTCAACGCTTCCTCTTTCTGTATCATCTGGGTGTTCATCTTTCCAACCTCTGTTGCAAAATCTGAGGCCAGGTCTATATCGCTCATGTCGTCGTTGTTGGTGCACGAGACTTTGTGAAACTTGGGTTGATTCTTGAAGGTATACATAGAAGGGACCCAATTGGTTTGGGACTTTGTGAATTGTGAAGGAAAACGATTTGGGTAAAGAAGATGAATTCTCAAAGCCATGGAGAGAGGATTTGCGTTGATGTTTTGGGATTTTTAAGATTTCGATTTATGTGATTATTAGGACTCTAGGGGTTCGCTTGCGTGCTTCTAGTGTTAAAGTTTTTGCACCGACTGCCTCTGTTTCCAGTAGTCTATAATTTTTGTCTGGTCTTTAATTTTATCTTTTACAGTTCAGAATATTATTCAAAATTTGACAAACAGATTTTAGGGTTTGTTTGGTAATTAAGGAATATTCTAAAATTATTTATTCGGCCATTTGTAGTACTGAACCAATTTCATGGAGTATCCCAATTCATAAATTTTTGACGTTTGAGTACTTACGAGTAGCAAACCAATTTTATTGCAGAAAAGCAAAAAGAGAATTCCACAACATATAAAATGTAGTTAAATATTTACAGTAAAAAAGAAAACGAAGAGTAACTGGGAGAATTGACAAAAAACTAAAGCCATTTTCAGCAAAAAGAACAGATTATTATCGGGCAACTTGAACAAATCTTTTTTTACAATTCACACGATTATAATAATACATTATACCTCCTCCACCCAAAAACACAAAATGTGAAAAAGAAGAGACAACACTACGGAAACAAAAAAGGAAAAAAATAAAAATATATAGCAATGTTTATACATGTTCTACAAAGTTTCTAAGTGGGGAACAAATCCTACTGAGGTATGAGGTGAAAACTGAAAAGGAAAAAGAAAAAAAAATCTTAGTATAAACTCTAGGCCTTTTGGCTTATAATCAGCCTCCACTTTTCCTCCCAAGAACAAGCACCAGAAAACATCTCTAACCAAAGCCCCTGGAACATGGCTAAGCAATCTCAAAGGTGAAATCTCCAACCCCTACCCCTCCAAATGATAGAAAGAATGTAAGGGAAAGAACACAAAATAATGAACTGGTTCTACCATCTCCTTCAGATCAGCAAGTTTGTGATTGTTGTCAAAAAAGCCCACATCTTGATGTATCAGGAGCTCAGTTGCAAATGATTCACGGAAGCTTTGCAACCATCTATAATGATCACCCTGTCTCCAAAATATGAGGAGTGATTAGCTGAGCCAAGATATCAACCCATGTATCTGGAACACCAGGAAGGCACCAGTGCATACAGTCTTGACCCCAGACCGACACTGCATCCTTTTTCCCCAACCAAATTGCAGGATGGGCATCTGCCCTGAACTCACTCAAGTGAGTCAGATCGAGGCTTCTGATAGTTGTGCCTTTTAAGACCTCTTCGATCAGATGATTTAGTCGCCTTGCTTCTTTGTTAACCCCATTATATCTGGGATCAAACCACAGGTCAAGCTGTTCAGGTATCAGTAAGATTTTCTTCAGAAAACTTGTCACTACTTACTGTAATAAACTTTCTAGTGCATAATAGTCCCTATAATTTGTCAAAAAAGTATACAGGGAACCTAATTGTCTGAGAAAATGTAAATTTGGGAACTAACACTTTTTTCTATCCGTAGGAAATCACTTATTAGATTACAAACATGTTAAGTTATATACTTCTGTATCAATTGTTAGACAAAATAAGCTTTCTTAGGAGGCAAATCCTTGCTAAATGCCTAAACTATTTAACAAATTATCCATATTTTTCAACTTTCCTGACATAAGATTTTAGCCTAAGCGATGCATCTTCAAGTGATTTCTATTAGTATGCAAGGGGAAACTCTGTTAGTAACTAACCAAGTTGATTACCTTTGGAAAGTGAAAATTTCAAATTTACCAAAAAGTGCATACCTGAAGTTCATCAAGGGGTCCATCCACTGTGCAACTACCATTTTGATTCCAATCACCACCCTGAAAGTGCCTTGGTGATTGCAAGCGCCAAAATTTAAGTGTTTCCTCTGGTAATTCTTTTTCTATGAACGCAATCATATTCTCGAGAACAACCTTAAGTCCATCAAACATCTCCAATGGAGGTTGAATCAGTTGCCCTGCCTTGTAGAAAACAAGAGGTGTCTCTTTAGGGAATTTGTCAAAGCCCCACCTAGTAGATATTGATAACCATTAAAACCAAAGGAGTTTGAGATAATATGTTAATAACTAGATGCGGTGAAATAATTTGAAATGTCATGTCAGGAATACAGAAACCAAGAGCAGAAGATGATGCTTCCCCCCTCCCACTGGGCCTCTTTCCCCTCTTCCCCCAGCAACAAGAAAAAGTAAATAACACATAAAATTGAACCATCATTTTTCCAGGATTAGATGTGTACCAAATACCAATGTGTCTACAGGAGGAGAAAAATCATACAGTAGTCTTAGTTCGTTTATTCTCAAATGTAGCCCGACCTGTGATTACAGGAATACTAGCTATTAAGTTTGAACAAACACAGTGAGAATCATTTAGTTTTATCAAGAAACACAATTGGAATCATTAACAGTCCAAAGTTGCTGCACACAACAAATTACCAGCTGATCTACCTAGCTCATTCTCCACTGGAACTTCAATTTCTTCCCCACTACACTCACATCTAAAAGAACAAAGATAACACCTTCCACTTAAAAAACACGGACATTTTTCTACTTAATATGGCAAAATTTGTTTTTTTGGCAACATATCAATTTTTATTTTTATTTTCTAGGATTAATGTGAGATGCTATTGAAGATAGATGGGAGCTCAGACCTTTATGTCTTTGAATAAATTTTAGAACTTTGCAAGTTTCAATAGCGGTACAGGTAGGTGGTTAGCATAGCATCCAAAGGTGGCTGAAGATTCCATCCATATGGGGTGATGTGTTTGCAAGGTTGGGCAGGTAGTTGATGTTAATATTTTCACTCAACAACCCACTGTCATCCAGATGCTTTATTCAATTTGTTAACATATTATGTAAGAAAACTTTGAACAAAAATGACAATATTTCACAATCAACAGAGAAAGAGAAGTGGTCATTCTATTTGGACCACATAAGTGATAGACATATCAACTAATGTGCAAAAACAGCAACAAGGCACATAAAATTACCAATGACCACTTTATCAAGATAAAATAAAATTACCAATGACCAGTGTTGAAGACTAGAACATTGTAAAAGGCACCAATATGAGCCCAATCATCTGCTGGAATATCAACATCTACTCGATATCTTCCCTTCAATCCATCTTGGTTGGAGTCATCTAGCTGTTTTGGCTGCCACCTTAATTAATCAGTAATGAGCAAGTAAGATTATGACTCAAAGAAAACTCACATCATACTTCAGACTGATATCCAACTTTGGCAACATTCAAGAATGAGGACAAACTTTGAAATGCAAATGGTATACAGGATACAGTTTTCACTTCTGTTAGCGTAATTAACCAGACAGAATGAGAACTTTTTCGAAAATTAAAATGGTCAGCAGATTTCTTACAAGAAAATTGAGGAGCAACAGCCGGATCAAGAAGCTAACCTACACTCTTCTAGTGACAAAATCCCTTCATGATATCAGAAACTGAAGCTAGCCATGATTCAAGCTCTATTATCCACTTGAGCACTCAACCAGACAACAGGTTATAACTCATACAACAAAGAGTTTCAAGTTAAAAGCTCCAATTCATTGTACAATATGACTTTCTAAATTAGCCAATACAAGCATATGAAAACTCAAGTAGCAAAAGTAAATTAATGCTACAAACATCCTGGAATGAACAGACTTTTTCTTAGAAAATTGCACTATGAATCCTAGCCTTCCAAAGCTCCTTCCTTCAAAAATTATTCTCGGAAGAACTAGAATTCAAAATAAGCTGTGGGTAGGAAATGATCTTCAAATCAGGAGTTGCTCAGCCATTATTTTGTATAATCAATATATAAATATAGGGAACCACAACTTAGATCCACAACTCACAGTACAGCCATGAATTCTCCAACTTTTAGTGTTGATAAGCAACCATGATTAGGTGCAAACTCAATAATATCTAGTAAAAGATTGTCATTTGCTACTAAACAACACAATATCAAAACTAATCTTTGCACTAAATAACACAATATCAAAACTATTTTTTGCATTTGCTACTAAACAACACAATTTATAACAAGAATCCAAGGAATATATTGCAATATCAAAACAAGGTAAAAGAACAAAACAATGTGCTCACTCATATTTCGCAAGCAAAACAGCACGATGATAACCCACGGTAACGTTGAACTTTGGAAAATAGGCTCCTCTCCAAGCACCCTTTCTCTTCCATTTCTTTGCAGATGAATCAGCCACTCTAAGAGTACACAAAAACGAAACCAAGAAATTCTCATTCAACGAATCTCCAACAAATCCAATATTCTTGTTCCTCATTGAACCCAAGAACCCAACTGGGTCGATCCGAGTTAAATCACACTTGTCGGGCATCCATTTCCAAGAATTGATCCGACCCATGTTCTCTCTTTGGTTTCTTAGACAGTTCCAGGCGTTCCTGTGAAAGGGGCAGGACTCATCATAAATGGGTCTGCGATTCGGGTCGCTGACCCACTTGCCTTTGAAGAGATTACAAGAAGGTGAGATGGGAATTTTGGGTTTTGGAGAAGTAGGAGCATAAAGAGGAAGGGATAAAGAGTAGAGGAAAATGAGAAGCAACGTCGGCAGAATCAGCCATGAGAAGAGCTTTGGAGTTAGCTTCGACGCCATTTCTGATCTCCTCTAAACATGACACTGAAGAACCATTTCAAATACTATGAGGTATTATCGACTTTACATACCCACCAATTATTATTTTGGGATAATTTCAGGTTTCTTTTATAAAACTCACTTTTCGGTTTATGATATTACACACTTATTTTTCCTTATTTTAATTTTTTTCTAATCATCTTTTAAACCTTTATTAAAATAAATATAATTCAAATTTTGACTTGACACATTTTTTCTTCTTCATATTGATTTTTTAAAGTATTTATTAAATAAGTTATATTTTTAATTATATGAAGAAATTAATATAAAGAGAGATAAATTTGTTAAATGATAAATTTTTTTATGAGAGATTTGATCTTTTACTTTTACACGAGATTTGAAACAGTATTTTTTTTTTCCTATTCAATTTGTTAGTAGTCAAGTCATAGACTCATAATAGATCATTTTCCATAATAATTATACTAAGGAGTAATTTGAAAAGATAATTTTTTTATTCAATTTGTAAATAATTATAATAGATCATTTTTCATAATAATTATACTATGGGGCGAATCAGGGGCGTAGCTAGAGCCTTTGAAAAAATATGTTTTATTTATATGTCAAATTCTACATTTAAAGAATATATATTTAAAGTTGGGCACCCTTAACAAAAGTTATGCCTTTGGTGTAGTGGTAATAGGTGTCTATTGGAGTAAAAATGTTTTGGGTTCAAACCCTAAATAGCACAATATTTTTTGACAGCTACAACCATTATTCTTGGACACCCTTAATTAAATTTGGAAACAAATTTCTTTCTTTACCCCGTCTCTCTCGGCAAATGATTTATCAAATGAGTTGCCAGATTATATGAAATTCTTTTTTAATGGGTGATGGTGAGACTTGAATTCATGACTTAAGAATTTTGTATCCCATGTATCCTATAGAAGTTATATGAACATCTCAATCAATAAAAAAAAAACATTTTTTAGATATATCTTTGCTATTTCTCATTTAAGATTCAGTAAAAAAATTCTCCGATATTTGTCAAAAACCATTGTGTTTGCATGCAGAGTTCTGTTGTTGTTTTTGTTGCTGACAAACTCACCATAGTCTGGGACTGCTTGCACAAGGCACTACCATATGGATTATTTTTTCCCAGTTGTCATAGTTGCTTGATAAAGTAAAAGCCAAGTATATGATCAATTCTACAGCCCATCATGGTGCTTGTGAACTGAAGGTAAAACAGTTGTGATCTTATTTGGCACACATTACCTTTTTCTCGTTAGCCTCTTGTGTTGTACATCATTTATATTTGATCAATCACTGAATACATGTCACCCAGCAAAAGATGCAGTTACTAACTTCGCGAGTAAGAAGGTGCTCACTCTGATGTAAATGAAGAATGTGGCAACTATTAGTTTCTACGACTCTCTCGTTCTATCAGAATTCAGATGCCGACAGAGGAGCCAAGAGAATGTCTCGGCTTATGCTACATGATTTCTTTCAGCTGATACGAGGTCTATTAGAAATTTGTGTCCTTATTCTCTCCCTTTCGAGATTAATTATGGGGGTTAGGAACAAAATATTCCTATATAAAGGTTTAACCATTTCATTAAATATGGGGGTTAGGAACAAAATGTTCCTATACAAGGTTTAACCATTTCATTAACCCCTTTCACTGCAACTATGCGGGCATTCACCTGTTTCTGGATTCTATTTGCATTTCAAATGGTCTAGCCAAAATCTTTTGATCAGCGTTTATTTCATAAAGTGGTACCTCAAACTCAGTACATTCAATTTTCAAGATGGTTTCTATGAATCACCAAAATCTTGATAAATGAATCCACATCTTCTTAAAGCTTCATGATTCACATTACTGTTTACCTGCAGGCGTAAGTTTTGATTTCTAGTTCCCTTTCAGAATGTCATAATATTGCAGTGGCTTCTTCTTGGGCTCAGCACAAGTTTCCTGAAAAGGAGCAATGTTATGTGTTGGTATTGGAAGTCATTTCTACATAGGGGTCATTTGACGCTTTGAATGAATCATAGTTGCTCTCATTTATTTTGGTTGAATGGTCAATTACCTCAATTGCAGCAGCCAAGCGCAAAATGGAAGCTTCACACCAGGGTCGGCCAATGAGTTGTATACCTATGGGAAGCCCTTGCTTGTCATAACCAACCTGAGCATGTAACTCATCGATATGAGATAGCGATAACTACCATTGTTGTACTAGATGAATATACCTCATTCTGAATGTGACAAACAAATCCTACATTATGGATCATTTGAAGGAAGATCTAGACTAAAATATGCTTCTGGAGGGGATAAAGCTTTTTGGAATATATATATACATATATTATTATTATTATTATTTTCGCTTTCATGCCAATTGCTACTTTTTTTGTGAAAACTATCTTGGGATAAAATCTACAAACCCTTGAAAAACATTAGTGCAGGGACTTTTTCAATAGACAATTTAATTGTATGCAAACCCATCCCCTAAGACTGATAAACCAAAATGCAGATCCGTGAGATACAATCTCGCCTTTACGTCCCTCCAAAATGGTTAAAAAGAGTATCAATTCCTGAATGACCATCGGTCAACTAACTACCCTGGGTAGAGGAGAAAGGTGAGACAACTTACAGGGACAGTAACAGCAGGAAGTCCCAGAAGATTTGCCGTTATAATGAACCGCATAAGATTTCCTGAAAGTAATCATCACATGAATAGAAATCTAACCTGAAACTTCAAAACAGCAAGCTGTCCGAGAATAGTAGAGAAACAGTATATGTGTTTCAACTAACTCCATAGTTGATATCTGGAAAGGGGTGAGTGAAGGGAAAAACCTGTAACTTGCAAATTAGTCTCCCCAACTTTAAGAGCACCTGGTGGAATTATGGGTGCTGTCATGCTGAAAAAGACGGAAGTAGCAGAGATAAGTTTAGGAACATTGCTGCATTCATTCCAACAAAACAATTAACTGCCTATGCACACAAGTTCAGTATGTCATATATCTAACTTTGACATGTATCAACAAACTAATCTACCCTCTACACATACTGGACTTGCCATTTAATGTTTTAGGTATCTACATTAACAAGTCAGTCACATGACCACTTTCATTTCTAAGAATATTATATCAGGCACAGAAGTCCCACCAACCATAGAAGGGGGGAAACAAAAAAGAGCAGGAAAAACCGAACAGGGAAATAGTTTGAAAAGATGAGTGATTAAATGTAGGCACATGGAAACGTGAGAAAATATGCTCAATAACAGGAATAGAGTAAGCCTTGGTGAAGGATATGAAAGTTAATTCCACACTTTCCCGAAACTTCCTTGACATACCCAGTCGTTGGTGTCACAATGATATCCACCCTCTTGAAAATCTCCATATGGAAATACATTAACCTCCGCCTGCAACAACCCAGACAAGAGTTATGTCAATCATGTTTCTTGTATAAAGCACTACTTTCAGTCTTTCAGGATGTTAAACATTCCGTCAATCTTATCAAGTCATATACTTGGTTTGGAACATAACTGACTTCTTTCAACAGCATTGTATCAGCTTTCCAAAATTATCAACTTAAAAGTTTTGGCATCTAATAAAGTGTAAAATCCAACCTATGGTAAGCTACAATTATCTGACGCTTTAAGTCATTTCAGTTGCCACCGTATTTCTAAACCAATAAAACGGTTCTCAGTTGGATTCTGAAGCAAATTCGTGACTAAGATTAGGTTGTTGTACTTTAGGTAGCTTAAGAAACATTATGTCTCACCTAAGCCGCTGAGCAGCAACATAGTCTGCTGCTGTAAATGAACGAAAAAGTGCCAGATTGGTGCGAGTATCATATGTCAATCTCTCTCCTTTCCTGAAGACAAAAAAACAAGAAAACAGAACCAAGATGATATCAGGAAAAAAATTGAAGCTGCTCCCAACAAGACATTGAGATCTATTAAGAAGACATTTGATAATAGAATATTCAAACAAAAAGTGTGTACCCATCATAACAGTCTGGATTCAGTGCGCATAATGATTCAGATCCAATAGAAACAACATGAGCTAAGCGCATCTCATGCAACTCTGGTATTACAATTTCTACCGTCTTCAACCATGAGATAAAAGAAAAATATTAGACATACTAACAAACATGTTGAATGACAGATTCTCACAATATTGTCAGCTAATGGTTCCTGAAATTCTAAACCAAAGCCAGAGGATACACCTGCCAAAGTCCAAGCTAAAGCAATGAAGAACATAGTAATGGTAATAGAATTACTTTGCATCCATGCTTTTCTGATAGCCGACTGAGAACATTCCCGCACTTGTCAGATATATCAGTTGAGAAGACATCATTAAACCACTGTAAAAGGATGATGACATGAGATTATCAAAGAAATATCCAAATACAAAAACTATTTCAGTGAGAAGAAGTTTAGTCACCTCTGTATATTTTCCAAGGCGCAGCGATTCCACAGATTGCAAACTCTCTTGTGAAGAGAAATTAGGTACACAGGGGAGGGACTGAAAGAAATAGAGGGAGATGATAAATTACAGAAACAGAACGTTTGATCCACCATGATGTCCAAAATCAATAAGATGAATGTGATATCTTAATGAATCTAGAGTCTGCTGGTGAGATTAAAACTAAGAACATGGTTTTTAGATGTTCTAAACATGTACATGATGTTTCAGGTTTATCCTGTTTACCAGAAGGTACTTTTACAAAGTATTACAATGAAGAAAAGGAAGAAAGCAGAACAGTCAAAAGAAATACAGAGTTTAAGAAAAGTGCTGATGAATAATCCTTTTGGGATGGTTACCGGTCTCAAAGAGATTCTATCAGCAGGAGAGGACCCCAAAATTGCTGCATACCTGATGAAGTAATGGATATGAACAAATCACATTGCAATTTCCTAGTGTAATTTTGATCCGAAATATATTTCTAAAAAAAGTGAGACCAATAAAGCTATCAAAGCAATAACTTGTTGAGTACATGTAAATTACATTAACAAGTCCGGGAAGACTCATCCTGACATAGTTCCTTGGCATACATGACAAAAACACAACATTACATCACTTGTACCATTAGTTCTTTTATGTGCTCTGACAAGATGGTTGAATAATCATTCTACATCTATATGCAATTATGCAAAGCTCTATCATTCTCATTTCCTTTCCTCAGTAATAAGATTCTTTTAGTTTATCCTTTACCATCAGCAAGCAGATTTATAAGAGGAAAATTAGGCCAGCTAATTTCAACGCTCGTTTAATTTACTACAAATGTTTAAGATCACGCATATTCTCATATTCAAACCCATGACAACTTACACAAGTATGGTGTCCTCAACTGTTGTAGCAATTGGTCCAATAATTGCCACTGTTCCATCATCACATAATGACCTGGATAAACAAAACAGACGCTATAGTGAATCTGCCCCATCCCGAAAGACAATTTTCTCCCATTACATGAAAAAAGAATCATTCGTAACACCATAAAGATTGAATGTCTATGCTCCCAAAACTGACTTAATAATAAGAAGGTACAAATGATAACAGGTTTGATACTATTAAACTGACTGAAGGCAATGCATAAGTGGAAATACTAATCATTTCACCAAAATCACTTATCTCTCCAAGTTAAGAAATCCAATATGGATTTGTCATATAATTGAAGACTGTTTGGCTGTTGAATTCTTTTCTGACAAGTTTGGAGGCACTATTCCACAGTCCAATTGTGTACTAAGCTTAAGCATCAAAATCAGTCACAACTTATGGAACTTCACTGAGTTTGGAGTTCTTGCAATCAACCAACAGTAGTTTCAAGCTCTGTCCTTGATAATGATCTCCATATTATTGACAAAGGTATATACATCCATATTATCTTAGATTAATTTGGACTAATAAAATGTAACCTGACAACTAAATAAGTTCCGTATTCAATTATTTACTTTGATAACTAAATTTTATTATGAATAACTAGAGTTTCTTCATTTCTTTATCTTGATAGCTAAAGTTTTATATCCAATCCTTAGCATAGGCAAGCAACCTATGAGATGCTACATCAAAATAAAGCTTCTCAGGAAGTATCCTTACTGGATTTATAAAGATTTGAGGCAACATTAATGTGGTAAGATGGAAAATAGCATAACTTATGATCATAATACCATCTTTCGGGTACTGGAATGGTATTGTGAAGTGAACGTTGTTTTGACTCATACAAAGAACTGGAGAGATAATAAATCCAATTTGAGATGGTCTATCATCACTATACATAAAAGATTGAAGCACATCCTAGACTAATGTATACACATGCATATATGAACCACAAGCTCCTAAACGAAGATGCAGAATAAATGCAAGAAATATTGATGGTTGACGAAAGAGGAACAAGAATAATGGCTATACAGTTGGAAGATCTGTTAGCAAGAAAAATATATCATAAGCGACATGTACAACTGTAGAATGAGCTCACCCGGTCATGTCAGTTCGACCATATGTTGACTTCAATCCCACAACACCACAAAGGGAAGAAGGAATCCGAACTGAACCTGTCCTTACACATTAAATCAAGCATCAATAAAATACTTTTTTTTTTGAAGATTGAATAAGTGGATTCTTCAGTTTGACATGGTGTAAGGTGTACAACCTCCTCCATCCGTCCCCAAAGCAGCAGAACACAATCCCGAAGCCACAATAGCTGCAGGGCCTGAGGAAGACCCGCCGGTGTACCTATCTGGATCGTGTGGGTTTCGTGTAGTCCTGTCACAGATTTTTAACTCAAAAAAAAGGGCAGAGAAGCAAAAGTATGTTCGCAGCAACTAATAAACAACTCTAGAGTATACCACCTCAGGATAGAAACATTTTAGGAAGCAATTGTTAGAGGTTACTGGGAATGTGATAAAGCACATATCTTCCATACTTATTCAAGGAGGAAGAAGCGAAGAAAGATAGGAGAAGATAATGATTTGCATCTTCTCAAATTCCAGGAGGTTTCACCCATGGAGCATTGAGTGGTTACTTACAGTTATTAGGAGTTATTTGGCAGTTCCTTATGGTTACCAGAAGTTATCTATCCTTATCCTAAATAGTTATGAAGTAGTTATAATTACCTATTATATAATAGGAGATCTAGTAATAAGTAGACATGTGTTAATATATCTTTTATATGCAGAAAAGGTTGTTCTAAGAGATACGAGATACTTGTCTCTCTTTGTATTTTCTATTGTTCCACGAGATACGAGATACTTGTCTCTCTTTGTATTTTCTTTTTTTGATAAGGTAACTTTGTCTCTCTTTGTATTTTCTGTTGCTTTTATCCAGTAAAAAACCTCGGTTTCTATCAGAATGCTAGTGTTACATTTAAAACAGAAAGGAAATGTCTGAGGACTGCCTTAGACAGGGTTAAATGCAATTTAACATTTCATGTACACAGCCTTTCCACAAAAGAATGCGTAATTACATACCCATAGTTTGCGTTATTTCCAGTAGTGCCCAAGCCCAACTCATGCATGTTTGCCTTTCCAACCAAAATTGCACCACAACTTCGTAATCTTGACACAGAAACAGCATCCTTCTTTACCTCACGAACCTCATGCATCCATGCAGTTGCTCCTGTTTGCACCAAGCATATAACTAAATTTGGAAAAAAGGCTAGGCCGAAGATGAAAACTAAAATGCATACCCTTTGAAGGGTGAGAATAGCAATCTATGTCGTCTTTGATTGCCATGAAAATCCCATCCAAGATTGAGAGTGGATTCCCTGCATATTCCCCACAGTATGAAAATATTATTTTGACTGAGCACAGTTTGCAAGTACGATAAATTTTGGAGTATTATTTACTTACCATTCAATGATGAATACAGCAAGGTAAACATGTAAATATCAGAATACCTTGTTCAAATCTTTGTGTAGAAGCAGCAGCTTGCTTTCTTACTTCGTCAGGGTCAAAAGAAATTAATAGTGGGGCTGCGGGATTCTTATTGTTGAACTCCTCAATAGCTGAGATGAAGCGCTCCGCAACCTGTACACAAGGAATAACTTCTCATCCTAGAGATTAGAAGACAGAAACAAAAACCAAGCAACCATAGAAGTGTCTTGCCATCAATGGAGTTGTAAACTTAGATCTGTATGCATATGCATAATCACGAATCTTCCAATAGCGGAATGATGCAGTTTTATCACCACTCCAATTGCTAGCTGGATCATATTCTGGAAGACACTTCAAGGCCAGTTCAACCCGGTCTTCAGGCTTCGCGTCTTCTTCTATGTTGACAACAGCAGGTTCTGGCTCTACAGTCAGGAAATTCAAACTGAATTAGTACCAAGTATACAACAATACTTTGCATCATGGCAATGTCAACACTGGCATCCTTTTCTTAATTTTTTTTTCTAAGGAGGTCACCATTGACATATAATGCCTGGTTATATACATCTTTTGCATCCATATTGATGCCATCAATTTTAACAGGATTTATCAACATCAATATCTACAGCACAGCCTTACAAGTAGAGCACCTTTGTTGGAATCCGGAACTTGGTTGCCAAGATTGTAAATATATGACACCTTGGGCCTAACTCAACCACAAAAGCTACCTCACGAGGGTGCATTACCCAAGTCCATACACGGGAATAGACCTATGTGTGACTCTAACCCACTCTAAACACATATCTTTGTCCACCACTTAAGTTTTCCAATAAAGAGAACATTGTACAAAATAAATAAAAAAGAATACACAGGGTGTTTAAATCTGTGTCTACCCTTTGTTCCATTTACTTGTGACTTGTAAATCCGTTCATTCAAGAAAAAAGAAAGAGCTAATTCCACCAATTTTGTCAGTGGAGGATAAAATACAAAAGAAGTACCTTCCTATTTCATTGCTAATGGAAATATCTAAATTGATTGATTTTGCGAGAGAGAGTTGATATCGTAGTTTAAGAATAAACCTTGAGGAGGAAATTCGGGTTTAAACATAGGGCACTCCGGTATGACGGTGTACTTCAGCTTCTGTCATTCATGAATAAATCTTCTTCAGTCTTTATTTAACCATTCCATACATACTCACAACAAGAAGTAAATTGCATACAAATACAATATCAAGAAACAAACCTCGTCGAATTTGTTATCATTCTTGAGGCGATTCATAATCAAAGATCCAATACCCGGTACTTCAGCCAGGTTCAGAAAGAACTTGAACCAGAAACCAGTCAAATGTGGAGCTTCAAAGAAAAAATTGCATTAATTTAATCGAAACAATACAAAATTGTAGTGTATATCACATCAAGATACACATAATTGAAACCTTGAATATTCTCCGGTATGTACTTCACCGCCGTCAAGTCAACTTCACTCGCCGGTAGCATCACTCGCTTGTTCCCCATTTTCTTGATACAATAACTCAATCTATCAATAATTCACCATAATCACGATCACAGAAATAAAGATACAGAAAATCATATAAAATATCTATGGAACTTTCAAGAAAATTGACTTATCACACACAACTACAGGTAAATACTTTCAGCAAGAATTGAAGTCGTCACCGGCCGGCCGGCGAGTACTGGTTAATGATAACGTGCACAAGAAAGTGACGCACGTTTAGAGTTTACTTTAGTAACCCAATTCGTTCAAAAATACTTTTTGTTGAAAACATCACATAGGGGCGCGGGATATATAGTCCGTCCCTCTATCCCATTTTATCTTATACCCTTTCCTTTTAATTTCTCTAGAGTAAATATCACCTTGTAAGTCCTTCGGGTTGGATGATACGGGATCAATCTCCCTTTAATGTCTTTCGCGTCAAGTCTGTCACATAGAATTTGCTAGTACGGTTTACATTCTCACTAGTGCAGAGGCTGTGGCAGAGATTATATCGAATGCGGGTTATCCTGAGGTTCAAAAAAAATCACCATATAATTTAATTTCAATTTTTTTTATTATATTCACATAAATATCAAAAAATTATTCAAAAAAAATCACCTTATAATTTAATTTTAATTTTCTTTTACTATACTCACATAAATATCAAAACATTATTAATCAATTTAATCAAATAAATATATAATAGTAAGCTATCGATTTACCAATAACAAAGTGAAATGTCAATTTCAATTATGTTGATGGCTTCCTCAACAATATCGACAGTTTAAACAATCATTTTTATGATATGGTTGTTGATATTGTTTTTGACTTTTCGTAGGAAGGACCATGACATTTTTGGGTTGGATTTGGCCCACTAACAATTTTGCTCTGGATTGTTGTTAAATCATAAATGGGTGGTTGTTTTGACTTTTTCTTTTTGTTTACCCTTCCTAGGAGCCCCACCCCTTTTGCTCCCTTGGTGACTCGAACTCGCAACATTCGAATTGAAAGTGAGGGGTTCTTATTTAATAAACAGAAAAGGGCCAAAGATATCCCTATACAATTCAAAAAGGTTTTAAAATACTCCTCATTCACCTGTTGGGCTAAAAATACCCCTAAGTCAATCTTTTTGGTTCACTATTACCCTTTCATCTAACAACTTTATATTTTTTAATTATTATTATTATTAATCATTACGTGACGTCTTTCTATTGGATAAGTTTAATTTCAACCCGCCAAACTTTCTCCTACCCCACCCGACCCATATTGACATCCCTTGACCCAAATCCAATTACAAGATCCATTAAAAATAAAAAAAGATTGAACTATCTCTTCTCCCCTAAACCTAATATCCTATTTTTCTTCTTCCCCTTTTCTTATTAAGCTATTTCAAGATCAATTATTATTAGGTTTATATATATATATACTGACATAAGGTACCTTACGCAATATTGACATTCAATTGAGTACTGAGTATTGACAACAACCAAGTTGGTTGCCATTTATTGCAGATTAAAGTCCACATTTATTTTGGAAAGTATTACTCCTTCCGCCCAAAAAACTGATAGCCATACTATCATTTATAGGAATATATGTATAGTCACATTCACATGTTCTATTAATTTTAGTAAATATGGTCATATGCGTTTAAAGTATTATATGAGTAGTCATTAATCAAAAGTATATTTTTTCCGTTTCAATTTGTTTGACTAACATTTTTTTTTGTTAATTTAAAAAGGAATGAACCTTTCCTTTTCTATTTCAAGAATCTTCTTTATTTTCTTAAATTTTGTGTCAAGTTCTAATCAGTATTGCCAATAATTTTCCTTAGCTGGTATTTTTAGTACTTTCTTTAAGTTGTACAAACATATTGATTCTGTTTTTTTTTCCGCCCAACTGTTTAGAAAAGTTTGATAGAACAAATTAATTTTACACTACTTTAGGCCAATAAAGCAGGTAAGAAATTAATGCACTTTCATTTGTGGTTGTAAAATTATATTTGATTATAGGAACTTTATTTCCCAAAAAAAAAAAAAACTTGCTATAATTTGATGTGTTCTCCTGTACGTTCTCTCTTCTTTTTTTTTACACTTCAGAGTAATCTAATATAGCAAGACTATAGGGACGACTATTTAACCATTAAAAGATACGAACTTTGACAGCTTTTTATTGAACATTAATCTCATTTCCACATGACTCATTCAGGGCCCCCCAGTTTAGACAGATTAGGTAAACTTCATGGCAACAAAAGCTATAATTCAATATTACAGAAGATGAACCACTTCTACAGTTTTATGCCTTCTGAGAAGCGCCACCAATGCATAAGCTCAAATCCCAAAATTCACATCAGGTTCCCTTTCAAAATATCATAAAACTGCACCGGCTTCTTCTTAGGCCCAGCACAAGTTTCCTGAGAAAAGTAACATAGACGGTTACTAGGGGTGTCAAATATGTGAGTTTGATTGAATTTGGACAGATCAAAATAGACTAGACTGAGTTAATCAATGGACGGGTCATGTTTTCATGTACTAATTCTGGCACCCTAACTGTTACTAGTCCAAAGTAAGATCTATGTCCAAGTGGCGTTGAGGTCAATATGGTATGTTTTCTTTTTCAAGAAAATGGCCAGTGACTCATTTGTTGAAAGGGAAACCATACCTCTATGGCAGCTGCCAAGCGCAAAATGGATGCTTCACACCATGGACGCCCAATGAGCTGCATGCCTATGGGAAGTCCTTGCTTGTCATAGCCAACCTGACATACACCATTCCAACAAAAATTTAAAACAGTTGAGATATTATTGGTAGTGCCATAATTATAGTTTGCACATGGTGAATGGAGTCAATATAAATTAATCTGCTTAGCTATAATTAGGCCAAGTCCATAGGTCAAGCAACAACACTTTTAACAACTGTGTTTTTATAGTTAAGATTTAAAGAGTTTTGAAAATGTTAACATAGGAGCCTTTTGTGATGCAATTTTATATCCCGCTCAGACTTTCCAGCCAGGACATGGGCTTAAACTAAACTAGACAATTTTTTGTGCAGTTCAGTATTAACAACTTTTCCAGGGAACAAAAGCCTTAAATTAACTAATGTAGACGTTGAACAAGAGATAAGAGCAGATACTGCAGTAATCTTTCAACATAGAGGGTATCTGGAGTTCTGGACCACGTATAATTTAGTTTGCCTCAGACATTGAGCTTTTCAATATTCCAGCAAGTTATTTTTACTCAATCTGCAGTTAGTCTAGATTCCCAAGTACATAGGATAAAGATGCTATGCTTACAGGGACAGAAATTGCAGGAAAGCCCAGAAGATTTCCTGCTAATACGAACCGCATAAGACTTCCTGGAAGAGAGAGTGTGAGAACAAAAAGCAACATGAGATTGTAAAGTAGTACCTATCCAAAATAAGAAAGAAGGATAATGCATAAGAATTTGCAGCTAACTAATAGTTTAAAAAATTCACATAGGTGCTATGCTACAGTTAAGAATATCTAAATAGAGGATCATCCTTCTTAAATCAGTATGTGCAACAACGGGAGAAGTTACTTTCATCTGTAAGAGCATCCCATTTCCAACCAAAATGTTTGGAGTTCAAATAACCAAGAGAAAAGTGGGATAAATTACTGTTGTCTCGGGAGGGAGGGCAGGTTTGGGGGTCTGGGGTTTACCACGTTGAAGAGAGAGAAAAAATTGTGGGGGAACTACTCTACAGTGCTCATATGATCAATCTTTCATACTCAGTTAGATATCAAGCAGTTGACAGCATCACCCAAACAGATAAACCAGTGTATCATAACGACATACCTGAAACCCGCATATTGGTCTCTCCAACTGTAAGAGCAGTTGGTGATATTATGGGCGCCGTCATGCTGAAGTATTGGGAAACAATTGTTAGCTAAAGATGGTTTCACAGATTAGTCATATTTCAACAGCAGAAAATAACGAACAAACCTGCTGTTTTTCACATATATGTATATTTTTCAAAGACTAACTTTTATGAGTATACACAGGCATTTTGAATGTTTGATATCTAGATCTGACATCATCAAAGGAATCAATCTTCAACTATCACCTTCTTGTTGTTCCAGTTAAAGAAAAATCTTATTCATGCTTCATCACTGACCAAATTCAATAATTTAATAGGAATAGTGAGGGAAATAATGCTATTCACAAGCATCTATCAAATGAAAAACAGAAAAAAAAGGAAAGAAGAACATCAGGGAAACTAAAGGAAGCTGGAAGCATTTGCAGATTAGGTGCATGCACATAAAGAGATATGTGTAATATTTTTACAAGACAGTCATCCAAATGAACAATAAAGTGTTTTTACCAAGAAAGTGATAACAAAATTTATCCACTAAGCCCAAATATTGGAATGTGGTTAGTGGTTACATACGCAGTAGTAGGTGTCACAATGATATCCACCTTCTTGAAAATCTCCATGTAGAAATGCATTAACCTTCGCCTGAAATAATAAGAGAGATTATATCTAATAATGTATTGTACTTAAAAAACTTTGCATCTTGCCTATATCAGAAGAGAATGCACTTCTAGCCTAATTGATAACTGAATAAAATACCAAGAATTATTGAAATGCATGCTTTCATTAGTATAAGACACAAGAGGATAAACAAGATTAGAGAGAATAACAGAGCAGCTAAAAATCATATAGCATAAAAACTACAGGCTCTCTCTTTCTTATTTTTCATCCTACCTACATTCTTTGAAAAGAAACAAAACCTATCTAGATGATTTAAGCCCAAGATCGATCATGAAAAAAATTAGGAAGACTAATAGTCACTTTCTTACATAAAGGAGATCATGATATTTCTTGAGCAAATTTATGAGTAGCAACGTAACTAATGGATCCAAAATAAAATATACCCAAAAGATTTAATTTCATTCTCATCAGATACAAGCAGGCAATGGTAATGAAATCTCGTGCCATTGACAACATTTTTCTGTCTTTTTATGCAACCGTTACCCGAAAGTACAGAATACCAATGTCTTAGACTTCCAAAACAAGTAACAAATGATCAAGCTATGCACTTCTCTCTGTTCAAATATCTTTTTAAATGCCACTAAATTTGCAGTGCAGATCAAATTCAAAATTTGATAAATTATGCCCCACCTAAGACACTGGGCAGCAATATAAT